CCGAACCATGACCATGACATGATGCTTCACATCCCACAAACCCTAAACAAGACAGAATATCCCTAAACCCTAAACCCTAAACCCTAAACTCGAAAGCCTAGCCTGAAGCTGAAGCCTTACAAAAGGAACCAAAGTAAACCCTCCTCCCAAGCCGAGGAGCCGAAGGCTCGAAACTGCTTCTCGTACACCCAATCGGCCACGGAACCCCGAAAAAAACACTCCGAATGCGCGTCTTCTTTTGTGCTTTTGCGCCCTAAACCCTAAACCCTAAACCCTAAACCCTAAACCCTAAACCCTAAACCCTAAACCCTAAACCCGTCTTCTTTTGTGCTTTTGGGCTTATGAATCAAGAGAATCTGAGGGGCTACTTACACGAAGGAGTAGACCCTAGAGCTTCGGGGCTGAAGACAGGGTTTCTGGAGTTACGGCTTCAGGGTTTAGGGTTTAGGCTTTGGGGCTTAGGGTTTAGGCTTTAGGGCTTAGGGTTTAGGATCTTGGGGGCTTGAAGTTGACTGCATCTGACGTTCTTTCGCTGGACGACTCCAAGAGAATTGAACATGGCCAACAGAAGCCTAAGCAGAGGCTACCCCTGAACCCTACACCCTAAACCCTTAATCCTAAACCCCTAAACCCTGAACCCTAAACCCTACTTCATCACACAGAGCCCACCACCTGTATGATGATGGTGCCGGCTTCCACTGAAAGAGGTTGTCTTGGCGCACCCAGCGCTGAACATAGCCTGCAAGCGTGTGGGATTGCGCTTCCTCGAAAAAGAAGTGGAAGGGGTGCCATTGGGCTACTAAGTTAAGCTCAACGGGCCCAAAGATGGACCATGGACCCTAAACCCCAAACCCCAAAGCACGTCCTCGCATGCTGGGCCTGTGGGTGACCAACAGACATACTAGACCCAAGAGTAAAACAGGAATAAAAGGGTGACCTTTTTGGATCCTTTTTGGTTTAGGGTTTAGGGTTTTTCGGATGTTGCAAGGGCACCTAAAACCTACAAAAGGGGAATAAGGGCCTACTCTGGGTCCTAGCACACTGCAAGCTTGAAGCCCCTGCCTGTCACAAGACATGGTAGAAACATCCCGACCCCGATAAACGCTACTACTGGCCGAGCTTCAAATGATGCCTCTAAACCCTAAACCCTAAACCCTAAACCCTAAACCCTAAACCCTAAACCCTAAACCCTAAACCCTAAACCCTAAACCCTAAACCCTAAACCCTAAACCCTAAACCCTAAACCCTACCCTTACTCGGAGGTTCATGGGTGCATAAAAGCACGGTTATCTTGAAGGCCCAGCGGCCAATGATCGCCGCCAAGCCCTTCAGCTGTGTCATGTCCAGCAGAGTTGACAGCTCCTGGAGCACCATAATGGGAGGTTCAGTTGGGCAGTCGGGGAATTATATAATAAGTGTAGGGTTCTGCGTATGGTAACTATACTTATAACCATATCTTAAGGCACTTAAGACCCTACTTACAACTACCCATGAACCACCATTTAGGCTTGCTACTACAGGGTTTAGGGGTTAAGGGCCAAAAGGTTTAACCCTGAATGGCATTTCATGGCTAGATACCACAACTTGCATTTGTGGGGCCAATACCTCCTTTAATTTTGACATGGGAACTCCTTGCACTAGAGAAGGGTCCTCATGAATGAACCCCCCGCCCCTCCCCAGTTTCGGCCTCAAACCCTGAAACCTTGGTTTTGGGGTTTACTCGGGGCTGTCTCTGTCTGGTTTAGGGTTTAGGGTTTAGGGTTTAGGGTTCAGGGTTCAGGGTTCAGGGTTCAGGGTTCAGGGTTTAGGGCGGCATGAAGCTTCCCCGACCTATGCATAGGAAGGCACCCACTGGGGCAGGTTGGGATACTGGCATGCCCTCCCCCCCAAATCCCAAACCTTCCCTTCCCCTCCCCCCCCCCCCCCACCCCCTAAACCCCATGACCGAAGGCAAACCATCAGAGCACGAAGATTCGGGACCTCGGGCTGCGCTTGTCGGGGGTTTTTGGGTTCGGTTTCTTCATTGCTCCGGCTACGTTGAGCTTTCGACTCTCACGCACATGGTCCACTGCCGCATCCTGCGGGCGCGGTGGTGGCGCAAGCCCATGATCCTGTGCTACTCCCAAGGCTCAACACCAGCTATGGCCGGGGTTTACTCGGCGATGTCTCTGAGTCTGAGCAACTGAGCGCGACTGCACTGTGAACCAGGACATCATCGGGACCCCCCCCCCCCCCCCCCAGCAGGCGGTACTGAAACTACAGGGCGGCATCCCAATTCACCAGCCGATCCGACAGGACATCCAAAGGAAAGGATGAGGTCTCAATGACAGTTTTGTGCTTCCACACGTTTCGCAAACGTCGAGGGGCACTCGTTAGGAACTCTTCCGGCCCTGCCACACCACTCGAGCATGTGTCCAGTCGGGTTTAGGGTTTAGGGTTTATGGGGGTTTAGGGTTTAGGGTTTAGGGCTGTGGTGTACACGGAGCCCTGCCAGAGGGGAAATTCTTCTTTCGAGCCATCCTTGCTGTCCCAGGACACTCGCTGCGCTTATCGAGTCGCTGCTGTCTGGTGCGTGACGTGGATGACACTGGTGCCTACCCTAAACCCTAAACCCTAAACCCTCTCTTACTATGAATATTTAAACCCTAATGACCGTCGTCGGCATATTGTTTTTTTCTGGGCCCTAAAGCCTGACCCCCTTCGTCGGCATATTTTGTTCCCCCCCCTGGTGGGCCCTAAACCCTGACGCCCTTCGTCGGCATATTGTTTTTTTCCTCCCCTGGTGGGCCCAAAACCCTGACCCCCTTCGTCGGCATATTGTTTTTTCCCCCCTGGTGGGCCCTAAACCCTGACGCCCTTCGTCGGCATATTGTTTTTTTTCCCCCCTGGTGGGCCCTAAACCCTGACGCCCTTCGTCGGCATGTTGTTTTATTTCCCCCCTGGTGGGCCCTAAACCCTGACGCCCTTCGTCGGCATATTGTTTTTTTCCTTCCCTGGTGGGCCCTAAACCCTGAAGCGCTTCGTCGGCCTGTTGTTTTTTTTTTCACCCCCCCCCCCCCCCCCACCCCCACCCCCCCACCCCCCCCACCCCCCCCACCCACCCCCCCCCCACCCCCACCCCTCCCCCCACCCCCCCACCCCCCGCCCCCACCCCCCCCCCCCCACCCCCCCCTTCCCGCCATTTTGGGCCAATTGGACCCTTTCAATCCATCATGTGAGGAAGTTTGAGAGTTAGATTTCGGGTTTTGGGCCAACTGGACCTTGAGCTTTAAGCCTACTGGGAATGTATTGAGTGAACTTTGTATTTTCTCAATGTTATGGGTTTCTTGGGTGGGTGGGTTTTTATTCCAACGCTTGACAAGCTGCTTGACTAGTGAATGCTCGGACTTGAGATGCTGAACCCTAAACCCTAAACCCTAAACCCTAAACCCTAACACTTAAACCCTCAACCCTCAACCCTCAACCCTCAACCCTAGGCATCCTGGATGTCAAGGTCCACATCCAGGTGTGGCTCGGTACCCCCTCCTTCCATCGTTGCAGAGGGGGGGGGGGGGAGGGGGGGCTGGGGCTGCTGAAATTGAGTGGGAGAGGGGGAAGGGTTTAGGATTGAGGGTTGGGGGTTTATGGTGTAGGGTGTAGGGTTTAGGGTGGGGGGGGACCCTTTCCAGTTTGGGCGTTCCGTTCCAATAGTAAGGAGGAGGACCGGAGGACCCCTGTTTGGGAACAGTCCATACATGCCACGCAAGCCAGAAACAGAGATGAGAGATGTCGGTTGAACCCTGACGCAACAATCAGGTGCCTAAAAGTATACGCGTGGCAGGGTTCCGAGCAAACCATTTGAGCCCTACACCCGATGTAACCACGCACTCGGTCCTTTGAAGGGCCGGCAGACGAAATGCAGGCTAAAATTGCAAGGTTCCACCTGAGCCGTGCGGCTTGGGGCTTGCTGGAGTACTAGGAGGTTCATGGGTACTTATAAGTAGGGATATAAGTACCCTAAAGAGGGTCATAAGTACGGTTACCATACTTATAAACCTACTGATAACTTCCCATGAACCTCCAAGTACCCTAAACCCTAAACCCTAAATCCTGGTGGCGGTTTGGAAGTTATGACACCAGAATTGTGACTTGCATCGGACAGGCTCAAGCAGCCTGGCACCGCACCAGCGACGTTGGTTAGACCTGCTACTCATATTCATAATATTGTTTGTTTAATAATGTTAACAATATTATTGGTATGATGAATACTGCTAATATTCATAATATTGTTAAAATTATATTACTAATATTATTAATATGACTAATAATCACCTGATTAATGTTTCTCTACTATTATTAACATAATAGAGTATTAATATGAACAGTACTGCTGTCGCGTCTTGCACCAATTGCAGACTCGCCGACCTGTCGGTTCTTTTCGCGGCTAGCTCCGCGTGAGTCCAGTCATTCACAGGCCCAGACTCTTTTCCTGCTCATACAGCTCGAACTACCCTAAACCCTAAACCCTAAACCCTAAACCCTAAACCCTAAACCCATAATAACCCTTCAGTGGTTCTGTTTTTATATGCGGCACATCGCCGCAAGCATGGACAAGACGGTGGACCAAATGTTGCGTTGGGCTTTGGACATGTCTGCCATCCCCCAACTAAGCCAGAGGCGCTGGGAGGCGCATGAGTCTAATAATGAGTAGGCAAGATTTGATGCCCAACTCTCAAGAATTAATTGCTGGCCTTTGCCTACCTTGCAGGTATCGTGCACGTACGGCGCCCTGAGAACTGGAATCGCATACATACTGCGGAGGGAGATCTGTTGTGCAAACTGTAGGATCACGTACGCGCCTCGCAATGCACTCACTAACTTCGAATTGTGCACGAACATGCGGGGCGTATTATGGCTCCTTGGCCTGCCCCAAACTCCAAATTCTGGCAGACCTTCCTGATATGCAAAGTACTGCCCTATCATTAAGCTCATAATGCGGCCGGCAGCGCCCCCAAGGATCTTCACGCACCGCCCTGGAGACCTTGGAACATGGCCTTCTTGGCTTTCTGCCTCCTCTTCTTCTCACCTTTGTCGCAGAGGTGGCAGAAGGAGCAGGAGGTGCCGTTTACGCAGCCCTTCGCGTGGAGGAAGGCACACGGCCGGCACTCGCCCGTGTAGTGACTCGCAGAGCCAATGCTCGGGAGTCCTGTCGAGCTGTGCATCGGGTTGCCACCGCTTGGGAGATGCGCTGGCAGCCCCCGTGCCCCCAGCTCCGTCAGCTCTTCTCGCCCATGCGAGAAAGGGCCGTGAGACGCATCGTAGGCATAGGGCGTGTGGGCAACAGCATCGAAGAGGGCATCTTCGAGGCAAATCACGGGTCTGCTGCTCTGCTTTGTGCTGATGGGCTGAAGCTCGGCGGCGTCATCCTCCTCAAACAGCTTCTGAATCCAGCCAATGGTGCTGGCAGGACAGGAAAAGACATGCTTCGAAGCGTCCTCCACCTCATGGTTCGGGGTGGCCACATGTATGAAAGTATTGCGAATCTGCACCGACTCGGGCGGATAAGCATCCTGTGCATCCTCCGGAATTGAGATCCGCATGTTGTCCCGGCACCGCTGCGAATTGGGGTCCAAGGAAGGGCGGACGATCGAATCCATCATGCCAATGGTCAGCGACATTGCCTGTGCGATTGCTTCTGTTCCGCAAAAAATCTACGCCAAGCTTGAGCCTGCCCGATCAAGGAAACAGGAAACACTGCATCGTCGTTGCTCAAAAATGCGCAGTCATGTGACCGTCAAGCCCTTATATGAGGTTTTCCGAAAATAGGGGTACCAGTTTTGGGGCTACCATAATCAGGATTATATGGTATTTGGGGGTACATTAGGAGTTCCCCTATTTTGGGAATGCTCATATGAACCTGCGTCTGGAAGCACATCCTTGCACTCTAGCTGCCAGGTATTTGTGCTGCCCGATGATGTCCCGCAGGCGCCGAGCTTTCTCACGTAGCCGATGCTGCGAGAGATGCACTGCATGGGGACCTGTGAGGAAAAGCTGTTGCAGCCAAACCAATCCGAAAGCCCTAACGCAACCTTTACAACCATCAACAGCAACTGCGAAAATGCCGGCCGTTCAGTCGCCAAACTACCATCCACGACACTACATCAACACATGAGGTCTTATGTGTTTTTGTGCGTGCGTGCATACGTGTGTATGCATGTAGGTACGTACGCATGTATGTTTTGCATGTTTTGTGCATGCAAACAAGTACGCATGCATGCATGTATGAATATCTACATGCGGAATGTTACCACGTTGCAGGTGTCGCAGCGGGGTCAGACGTTCGGCACGAGCTCTTGTACTTGATAAGATGCGGTTCACAAAAATTCCGCACCCTACGCCAGTTGTTCTTTCAGAAGTACTGGGGTGGCCATGAGAAGCCACGCATTCGCATGGTGGCTACGTATTTCGAGATCAGAACTTGTAGCTCTGAACCGTGTAAGGACTTTTGGTAAAGGGATCTTATGCCGGTCTTGCCGAACGCGAGGTGCACCCTTGACCTTGACAGCCACGAGACGCGAAGCACTACAGTAGGAACGTGGTTTAAGGATAATTAGAGCTGGGATTCCCTTTAGTATACCCTTGTCGGGGTATGGAGATAAGGAGTTTGGAGTTTACTGTACGATGCTTGGAGCTGACACCCCAAATCCCAAACCCCAGATCCCAAACCCCAAACCCCAAACCCTAAACCCTAGACGCGGTTCGGGGAAGAGCTGCGGGGCCTTGTCGTTCATCCAGCATCTGCTGCATGACAAAGCGGCTGATGCCATAGCGGAGGCGTTCCCACTTCCTGAGGTTTAGGGTTTAGGGTTTAGGGTTTAGGGTTTAGGGTTTAGGGTTTAGGGTTTAGGGTTTAGGGTCAAAGCTCCAGGAAGCCAAGGCCACCTAAAGCCCTAGTTCTGAGGGTTTAGGGTTTAGGGTTTAGGGTTTAGGGTTTAGGGTTTGGGGTTTAGGGTTTAGGGTTTAGGGTTTGGGGTTTAGGGTTTAGGGGGCTCCTTCAGCCACCCAATTCACCCCAACAACAGCATGCGGGGTACTAGGCCTGGTGCCTTCCTTTTTAAGGTCCCGATGTGAAACGACACATTGAAGTAGGGTATATATTTCTTGTACCCCCAAAAACAACACCCAATATATACACTCACCCAATATTGAAAAGGAACCCTATATACACTCACAAAAAACAGTAAATACACCTGTTTCACATGGTTTCAGGTAACGGTGTAGTTGAAAAGCCTAGTTGTCCAGTACCTAGGGGAACTAAAGGTTAACCTTTGAGATTGTAAGGGGGTTCTATTCCCCCAAAAAGGTTAAAAGGTTACCTACCCTACAACTAAGAAAGCTTTCGAGGGCCTCAGCAACTTCCGCGTCTTGAGGAAGTCAGACACACTGCAGCCACTGTCCTGCTTGGAGGTTCATGGGTACGTACAACCACAGTTATAAGTCTACTTATAACCTACTTAGGGACTTAGGGGGCTTATAAGTAGAGACATAATGAGGCTTATAAGTACCCGGAACCTGCAAGGGGCCCAGTAGCCCTAAACCCTAAACCCTAAACCCTAAACCCTCAACCATGCAAGAAGAGGCAGGGATATCGAGGGCATGAGGGTTAGAAGTACCCTGAACGTCCAAGTGGAAGCTGCGCAGGACGGTTTGTGCTGAGGAAGGGGGTCTTGAGATGCCAGGCGACACTGCGGTTAGGGTTTCGGCTCTCGCACTCGCACAAGGCAGGCTTTAGGGTTTAGGGTTTAGGGTTTAGGGTTTGGGGTTTAGGGTTTAGGGTTTAGGGTACAGACAGGGGCCAGTGATCAAGCCGGATGCCCGAATGTTCTTCTGCTGTCGCACTTCTGCAGAATCGGGCCCCCCCTGAACCCTTTCTTTAACCTCATCTCATCTCCGGATCGCCCTAGACCCCGATTGCCCTAAGTACCTGTCCAAATGTCCTACACACCCCCCAAGTACCCTAAATGCCCTACATGTCCTAAAATGCCCGAAGCACCCGAAGTACCTACGAATTGGGATGTTACCCTTTATACTAACAGTACCCCGATTAGAATCCCTACAAAGGGCTGCTAGTATGGAGGCAAAAATCCCAACCTACATACCCCAAACCCTAAACCCCAAACTCTAAACCCTAGCACCCTGAAAATACCCCTAAACCCTAAACCCCAAACTCTAAACCCTAACACCCTGAAAATACCCCTAAACCCTAAACCCCGAACTCTAAACCCTAACACCCGAAAATACCCCAAACCCTAAACCCCAAACCCCAAACCCTAAACCCCAAACCCTAAACCCCAAACCCCAAACCCTAACTAAACCCCAAACCCTAAGACCCTGAAAAAACACAAACTGCCCAAACTGCCTCCTGCAGACGTAGCCTGAACTGCGAGGTGGCAGTGGTGGCCTTCTGCAAGCCTTGGGGCTCGAAAGCTTCCTAAACCCTAAACCCTAAACCCTAAACGCTGCTTTCGTAGAAAATTGAGCTTTCAACATGGGGACTCGGGGGTTTTGGGGGGTTGAGGGATGTTTTAGGGTTATGAGCGTTTAGGGTTGAGGGATTTGGGTTTTCTGGGTTGAGCGTCTTGGGGATTCAGGGGTTCAGGGCTTGCTGTTCGGGTTGAGGGTTTTAGGGTCATGCGGGCTTGGGGTTGACCTAAGCCCCCCAAAGTACGTAAAATAATGGCCTTTTCTTACCGGTTTTTTGGGCTGTGTTTGTTGCTTCATCAACTTTGGGGTCCAGGGAGGCTTTTTGGGTTTAGGGTTTAGGGTTTAGGGTTGAGTAGGATCATGTTGAAGCCTTTTTGGTACCAAAATACGGCCTGACCTACAGAGTGTCTTACATTGATGCCCATACAGCTTGTGCTTACGGCTTGTTACAAAGCATATGGTTTTTCAGAGGTTTTGTCAGCAAAGCGGAGCAGAGCACAACGCTGTCCGGCATGTGCTTAGACAAGCTGCTCTCGATTCCATCAGCGCTGATCTCGGAACAACGCGCCGCGCTGTGTGGAAACATCTCCTCAGAGCTCTCTTGACAGCATGCGTTCTAATACCATTTGCTTAAGAACCCCCCCAAAATGAAAAATATTACCTTATAAGGGGAATATAGGGATTTGTTTTTTATTTGTTCAGGGTTCTTAAGCAGTTTAGTAGTCTATGGAGCTGAAAACGGACGGATGAAGGTTGCTTGTGGGAGCGCACGCTACGCTACAGCTCAGCTAGCGGTCTCTGATGCTGGCCGCTTGTGACAACGTTGGCTGCAGAATGCCGCAGATGGAAAATACACGTTGTGCTTTCCCTACATACACCCGAAGCTTTAAGCTCTACTCGCGCTCGGAGGTCAACCTCAGACTATGCAAAAACACCCTAAACCCTAAACCGGCCCTCAGCCCTCAACCCTAAACCCTCCAGCCAGAATTCCCAAAAGACTTTGACACCGTGGCCGTGAAGTCCGCCATGTACCCCGTGACCTTGGGTTGTGACCAGTGCAGGGGGACTGACTGGGAGGTTGATTTGACTCTAGTTTATATAAGGCAACCGCAGCCTAAATAGAACAACTTTGAACCCGAAGCCCTTCGACAAACCTATATTGTTGGGGTATTTCATGCCACTTCAGTTCAGGAACTTGGCATTGTCAGACATTTGGTCGGAGTTGTCGAGTGAAATGTCCCATGAGGTTCTGCGGATGCGGAAAGGCTTTTGGCTATCCCCCGAAACCCTAAACCTGAAATCCTAAACCCTGTAAACCCGAAACCCTAAACCCTAACACCAATGTCAAGCAGCTTGGCTTGGAACCCTAAACCCTAAACCCTGAAACAAGGGAACAAAGTTGTTCGGCTTTGGCGTCTTCGGGCACTGGCATCTGTGTCGCTCAAGTCAAACTGATTGGGTAGGACGACACGTGCTTTTAACTTCGGTGTGCCAGTGCTGTGGTTGATGACATCGACTTGGGATGTTCCCCCTTATATTAACAGCTCCTTACTAGGGATTTAAAGAAGGGGATACTATAATTCCCTATTGAAAACTGTTAGTATAAGGGGGGGAAGCATCTCAAGACATCGGCATTAGATGCTTGCTGCCCTCGATGCGGGCCCCCGAAACCCTAAACCCTAAACCCAAAAACCCCAAACCCTAAACCCCAAACCCTCAACCCTAAACCCTGAACCCTGAACCCTAAAAACCCTAAACCCTAAACCCTAAAACCCTAAAACCCTAAACCCTGAACCCTGAACCCTAACCCTAAACCCTAAAACCCCAAAACCCTAAATCAGCGAGCGGCTGAAGTCGAAGAGTCGCGCCGCCATCTTCTTGGCACTCGAGATGGACTCGCTGATGGACTGGGCGCAGGACTTGATGATAGAATACTAAGGGTCCTTAATCGGGATTGTAGAATCCCCTAATTGTAATCCGTATGGAGCTGTTAGAATAAGGGGGAACATCGAGGCCGAACTTGCTTCTACACTGACATTCCTGCATCTTGGCATGACCCAAGCCAAGCTCAGAACACAGACCCATGTCCGCACCTACCTTCAAACCTTCTCCATCAGCGAACCATGGAATTCGAGCTTCCATGCGGCCAAGCGGAACAATTTCTGCAAACAGGTTTGACCATCTCCTGCCAAGCGTCGTGAGTGTGCCGCCAGGACCTGCAGTGCGCATGCCAGCATCTCAGACGAGCACGCATGGGGGGGGGGGGGGGGGGGGGGGGGGGGGGGGGGGGGGGGGGGGGGGGGGGGGGGGGGGGGGGGGGGGGGGGGGGGGGGGGGTGGCACGGGGCTATTTTTGTAAAGTCCCATTGACTGGGCTATTCAGGACACCCTGACTGTTTGGGGGTGCGCGGTGGGATCCTGAAAAAAATCAAACCGTCCGGGCGCCGCAGAAAATTCCACGTGGCGCGCCTTTAAAACAGATTGCCGGGCATCGCTGCCCCTTTTAAACTTATAAAAATTATATTTATTATCATATGAAACCCGTGAACCGTGTAAACAGACATGAAAGCAACTTTGGTGTTCTGGAAGGGGGGGGGGGGGGCGGGCACACACTAGAACAGGTGCAACATTAGCTTTCAACAAAGAATAGGTGAATTCCCAGAGAACGAGTGTGCACCTATTTATATACATATATACACTACACCATGTACATCTATATGCACATGTGTTTATGTTTAGGTGTTTAGATAAACCCCTGCAACCTTTTTTTTCAGAAGGGACTCTGCTGCAACCCTGAAAATTCTCAACCCTTGAAACCCTAAACCTAAAAGCCCTACACCCTAAACCCTAAGCCCTAAACCCTAACCCTAAACCCTAAACCCTAAATCCTAAACCCTAAACCCTGAAGCCGCAGCTTTTGCTTATAGCCGGCGGACGGTGGTTTGTCCAGTGCTTCCTCTGGCTGAGTGAGGCCGGGCCGCCACTGGCCTTGCGGGTTTGCTTGGTTCAGGGTTTAAGGTTTAGGGTTTCGGGTTCAGGGTTTAGGGTTTATAGGGCTTAAGGTTTGGGGTGTAAGGTTTTCGCGGGGATGATATAGATCAAGCTTCCCCTTTTTGGGATCTATTGACCAGGAACTCTGCCAAAAGAAAACAACAAGAGGGACTGGCTTATTTGTGTTGTCTGTTGAACTCTCTTTATGCCTCGGGGGCTAAACGACAACTATGGGTCTAGAAAGTTTGTGTCCTAGAACAAAATTCTCGCGCATTTCGGGTTCACTTGGGGTTTTCCAAAATAATGTAGGAAACCTCGAAGTGACCCCCCCCCCCCTCCCTCCCCCCACTTTCGCAAACCCCACTTCGTCCAGAAGGTCGAAGGGCACCCGGACCAGCGTTTAAGGCTAAGGCAATGGTGTGGGTGGAAAGGAGGGGGGTTGCCCTAAACCCTGAACCCTAAACCTAAACCCTAAACCCTTAATCCTAAACCCTCAATCCTTAACCTAAGCTTGAAGCCCTTAAAGAGATCCGAAGAGAATGGGCTGTTGGAGCTTGATGAACCAAGTCGGGTTGTACCATGTTTACCTCGACTCCCCTAAGCACTTTTCAAGATGTAAGATGCCCTCATAGGGTTCGTGATATCTGTCCTAATTGTTACTTACTTGCATGGAAAATGCTGGGACAACATGAGAGGCAGCAAAATCTGGATTAACAGCTTTGGCTTGGATCAAAGAAGGGGCATGCCTACGACATTGTGAAAATCAAGAACGCTGCGCCTCAAAACCCTAAACCCTAAACCCTTAAGCCCCAAACACAGACCCAAGCAACAAAAGAACAGAAGGCTTGAAGTTTGGGGCGTCTGTGGCTGCGGGCTTCCACGCGTTGCACAGCGCCCTTCCTAGCAGTTTAGGGTTTAAAGTTCCGGGTTCAGGGTTTAGGGGTGGGATGGTCCCCCTTACACTAACAGCCCTTAGTAGGGATCTCAGTGAGCCCAAAGCCCCTTAATTAAGCAATATTCCTTAAACCATATAGGGCTCCTTAGTATGATTTAAGGCGTATTCCTTGATTAAGGGGTATTGGGCTCTTTGGGACTATAGTAGGGGGTACTACAATCCCTATCAAGGAGCTGTCAGTATAAGGGGGAACATCCCAATAGGGCTGAAGCTCTAGGACTCCAAATCACTGACCCTAAACCCTAAATTACTCAACCCGACACCCAAATCCCAAACCCCAAACCCTAAAGCCTAAACCCTAAACCAAGTGCCTTTGGCTCGAAAGAGATGCGTTTCGTCTCCGTGACCATGACCTGGCCGCACGGATCGGTCGCAAGCAGTCTGAAGGCACAAAGGGTTTAGGGTTTAGGGTTTAGGGTTTAGGGTTTCGGGTTTAGGGCTTAGGGGCACTAATTTCTTTATCCAGTACCTAGGGAACTAAAGGTTAGCCTTTGGGATTATACGGGGATGATATTACTCCAAAAAGGTTAAAGGTTACCTACTCTACAACTACAGTAAGCTCTAGGTTTCTTAAAGGAGGGGGGTTCATGGTGATTAGGTACCCAGGGAACCTTAGGGAAGCTTAGGGAGCCTTATAGGGAGTAGTGGGGGCTAGTGGGGAACCTTGGGTGAGATACGGCACGCTAAGCTGCTAACCTCGAAGATCGCGTGGCTTCCCACAAGGCCTGAAGCTAAGCCCCCCAACCTGAGACTTCACTATTGGGTTTAGGGTTTAGGGTTTAGGGTTTAGGGTTTAGGGTTTGCTTTGGGCAAACCTGCTTTCTCTCGAACTCAACCCTAAACTCTTAGCGTTCGACTGCAGAATTCAAAAAACGAGGCATTGCACACGAAACCCTGTAAACCCTTGTTGCACTCTGAGCCCTATAAACCCTAAACCCTAAACCCCTAAACCCCGTAAACCCTAAATCAGCTACCCTACGAGCACCCGGACGCGAGGCCTGCGCTCACTGCGCGCAGCTGCAAGCTGTCCACCACAAATCCGCCTGGAAGTCTCTGCCCAAAGACTCCCATACCCTTTGAAAAAATACGTATTCATGACTATCTATGCCGTATTAAGCTCGCCAGAGTAGTCTACACTGAAGAACACCAGAACCCCCCCCCCTCCCCCCGCCCCAACTTGTTCTTGGAGTCTCCTGGTGCGCCAAAGGTGCCAAAAGCCGGTTATGACCACATGCATGGCTAGACATCTGGAAAAGTCACATGGTCCCGATGTCATTTTGGGGAGCCAAACGACTACTATTTGCTTAAGAACCCCAAAAAGTTTTGAACGATAATGATCCCTATATTGCCCATGTAAGGAACAACATTTTGAGTTTTTTGCGCGGTTCTTAAGCAAGCAGCAGAGACAGGGGGTGTGGTCGCCGCACGCGCAGGATACAGTTCAAGAGCTAATTACAAGAAGTCACGAGCCATGTAAGTTTAGCTACCATCGAACCGCCAAAATGCTGGAAGCCTCAAGCGCAAGTCGCCCTAAGTCCTAAACCCTGCCGTTCCCCGCCCCGACCTCAAACAATATACGCTCTACATCCATGACGGACGAAATCCTAAACCCTAAACCCTAATCATGAACTAGAGAGCACTGGGCTCTGTAGAAACAAGTGGGTGGGGTCATGAGCCTTCCAAGCTCGAGACAGAGGCTGGGTGCTTGGACAAGGGCTAAGATGGCTTCCTTCTACTAATTGCTTAAGAACCCCCCCAAAAAAAAGTAATAATGAAGAAACACAAAAGAAGAAGATGATGAAAGAAATCCCTGGCTGGGCGACATAGGGATTGCTGTCTTGTATCTTTTGGGGGTTCTGAAACAGATTAAGAGCATTAGCCCCTAAGGGCTGTTGTGGGTTTAGCGGGTTAGAGCTTATGGGGCTCCAGGGGTGACATGACGAGGAACCTCTGGTTAATTGTTTAAGGTTTGCAAGCGCAGGGACAACACGACCGCCTTCTAAACTGACCCTTTCCTCCACACCCATTCTGATACCGCAGCGCAAGCACCATACCCGGGAACCTTCAACCCTACACCCTAAACCCTATTGCCCCTAAACCGATTCCTGCAAGCCCCTGACTGGCCTACGATGCGATAGGGCCCGCATATTCCAGACTTATCGTCTTCATAGCGGACTTCGAAGTCGTTGATACAAATTTGCATTCCTCGGCGTGGGGAATTGGGTGGGTGGGGTAAGGGGGGGGGGGCGGGAGAGGGGGCCCTGACGATTGGGTCACGGAACGCGCGCATACGAAAACTTTATAGACTTTAGCCGTCCTAAGCCTGAGCCATTCTGAACCCTTCTCCCCTTGCGTGTTTCGACGTTCACACATGGGCGAAAAGTCTAGGGCTACCCTAAACCCTAAACGGCGTGCTTGCAACCACCGCTATACGCAGAGCCCCCCCCCGAACTCAGACACAAAACGTGCAGGACACTGGGGGGTTCATGATTAAAAGTACCCCCAAATAGGGTTATAAGTTAATAACCCTGCGTATAACCCTACTTGCAACCACCCATGAACCTCCAAGCATACCAATACCTTGAAGCCCAAACCGAGGTTCCAAATGACGAAGTCTCACTGCCCTCTCCCCACAATGCTCTTGCGAACTAACACCTGTTGCGCTCAGGTTTGTCGAGAAGTCAAAGAAGCCGTTGTCTTTTTGCTACATGGGCTCGAAAAGGACACCTGGCCCTCAAAACGGCGGCAAACAGTGCAGATCGTAGGTGATCCTAGTCATCAATACGTCAAGGGGCCGTTATTCAGAATGTCCCGCAGTAGCTTTGTTAGCTTCCGTCGGATCCAGCTTGAGCCCACCTGGCGTCACTCCATGACATACCACAAAACTCCAACGTTGGAATGTTCCCCCTTATGATAACCGTCCTTAATAGGGGTTATAGTAACCCCAAATATTCTCCCTGTTAAGGACTGGTAGTAGAAGGGGGGCCCTTCAATCAAACCCCGCTTAAAGTTCCGAGTGCCAGGGGTGACTGCGCCAACTTGTGGACATGCTTCTTGGTGCACTAAGGTTGGCAGGAGCTCACGTGAACTGTGGAAATTACAGCACACGCGCGTTCTTGGGTGGACAAATTGTGAAGGTGTGCCCTATAACCCTAACCCCAAGAACTCCAAAGTTCGTAAGCAACCTGGAGTACACAACAGCGTGGGTGTCTGGGTTCTGCCACCGGTGGGCCGAAGAATCCTAGAGGTAGGGCCTTGACAAAGACACGCGCAATGGTCTAGTGGGCCTTACTATGAATCATGCGATCTGCGGCGGGACTTGCCTTGGGCTTGGAATTAGAGGCCAGTCCGTGGTTGACAGGTCTTCAGTAGAGTCTTCAGTGAATTCGGACATCTCATACACATCTCCAGTGCACTCGCGCCGAACAGTGGCTTAGACGCACCATGCCAATGATGATGCTACAACCTCAGCTCAATGCCCTAAACACTCTGATCGTCTATGTCGTTTCAATTGTGCACCTTCGCTTCTCCCTTCTAGCGATGGCTTGCGTGAGAAGGGAGCACTACAGCTGTGTCGAATCCCGAGCCCATGGTCGTTTCACTCGTCACCTTGATGGGCCGACAAGTACCTGACCCAGGATTTCCCAATGAAGCTGCAATACGGTAATGCGTTATTTCCGTCTGCCGTGCCTGCGTCTGATGTCGCACACTGCCTTGCGCAGAATGAACGCTTTCCTGCAAGCACTAGCAGGGATCTGCAGGCCCCCAAACCCTGCCTAAACTCTACCCCCTAAACCCTACATCCTAAACCCTACACCCTGAAAACTTGCTTAAAAACTTAGAACTAGAAGAAGCATATGCAACCTGAACCAGTAGGCAGGCGTTGAGGAGCTTGGAGGGCGTTGAGGAGCTTGAGGTTCAGTGGCCCAAGGGTTGAGAGGACTTCCTGCAGCTGTAGTGGGCACACGCATCCCTAACCCTAAAGCCTAAACCCCAAGTCACCAAGCTCTCAAGACAAGCCTAAACTTTGTCTTTGAGATTCAAGGATTAAGGCTTGCAAAGGCTCTAGGGGTTGCAGGGTTTGGGGCCAGGGTTACGTTCTGAACGCAAAATCAACGGTTCCTGGCTGAGACCAAGGAGACAAGGCGAATCTTGGGAATTGAACAGGATTTTTAATACCCAAAAAAAAGTTCAACTCATCTCCCTCAGCAGCAGACTTAAAACACATGGTGGCCACCAACCAGAAATAAAACCTACTCCTGGGAACCGTCCAGTACCACACTAAGCCCTAGGACTGTACGCACAAGAGCAAGGCTAATTGTCAACAAGATCGCAACCCTAAACCTACGCAATTCTTGTGGAATAGGCCTACCACACCCTAAACCCCAAATCCTAAACCCTAAACCCTAAGAAGCGGCCTTTTCTTTTTGACCCTGCTGGGCTTTGCGAGGCTTCGCCTTGGACAAGAATCGGACTTTTGTTTGCCGGAAAGGGGGGTGGGAGTTTAGGAGCTTGCATTTATCTGTCTTGAAAGATCAAGGTAATTAATCAAAAGTAAGGTGATAAGTACAGTTACCACGCGTATAACCTACTTATAACTACCATGAATCTCCAAGCATTATTTGTCTCTTAGGTAACGTTAGTACTGACGACTATTACTGTAGTAGAAGCAGGAATTGCTGAGACTGTGATTATTGTAACTCGCATTTTGCTTTTTTTGGGATGCACATCATTCTTGATAAGACATTGATCCTACATTTGTTGGGTTCAGCATGGTTGTAGTTACATGGTCTTATGGGCCCCCAAAAGGGGACCCCTTATATACCCCTTACATGCCCTGTAAAACTCAAGGGCCCATACTTTAGAACCATTGAAGGGAAGTAAGGGACCATATCGAGGGCCCATGAAACTTACCTTAGAAAACAAAAGCGGAATGCCAAAAGCGCAGGTTTCTGGTCTCCAGGACCTTATACCGCAGGTGTCTCTGAAAACAAATCCAGGTGGACGTGCACGCGTGTGTTTGAGGAACCCTAAACTGCTGAGTGAGCCCGTGGCCAGGGCGAACACACCGAAGCCGGCAGGCGAGGGAGCTCCGGAGCCACAAGCCCTCCACCTGGCGACGGAGCCTGCCCTGTCTGGGAGGCCCCTGCCTCGAGGCCGGACGGGGCGAAAGCGGCAGCAACCCCGCATCCCAAACCTCTAACTTCAGGCACTTCCAAGCAAGTGATCCAGATCCCCAACCAAGATGCAGCATCGCCAAGGGGGCAAAGGTTGCAGCCAACCCCAATCCCAAACCTCTCACTTTTTGGCCCTCCCAGAAGCCCTCGAATGATGGACATCATCCCTTGCAACGCCAAGGGGCTGCGAACTTCAGGGTAAATATCTGCATCGAAGCCGAGCTTCTAGACTTTCTAGACCCAACCATTAGAGGAAAATGACAAAAGCACGATCAGAGTTTAAAAGAACCCTAAACCCGTAGAGGTTTAGGCGAGGGTGGAGCGCCAGCTGGGGTGGGCTTACGCAGGTCGGGGTGCGCGCCTGGGTGCTTTCAGCACCAGCGCGCCCACTCATTGCGACACCCTAAACCCTAAACCCTAATTTAAACCCTAAACCGGGACAGGCCTTGACAATGATGGAAGCACGAAGGCCGCGAAGCACAAAGGAAGGCCAACTGAAGGCGAACCCTGTGAGTTGGAATGCGAGTTCTGAGGCCAAGTTGCCATGGGCTTTATAGAGTTCCTGTTTATCGGGTTTAAGGGATTTGTTTTCGTCATTCGCCTGGCGAAGCTGGGGAGATCTTCGGATGTAGTGTGTAGGATTTTCGGCTAAGATTGCCGAGGAGCGAAAGGCTCAATCGCCTTGCACGCCAGTTTGATCGTCTTGCTTTTGGAGGCCACGACGTCGTCGAAGCTCCAGTCGGCAGCTCTTTCCTTGGCTTTCCCTAAACCCTAAACCCTAAACCCTAAACCCCAAAACCGCTAAACCCCTAAACCCGAAGCCCTTAGGGCTACAGCATCCTAAAGCCCTCTTGAGCCGTGTCCTAGCAGAATCAAATCCTTACGCCCTGGCTAACTCCCTAGAATATATGGGGTCGGAATAATCTTCTACTGTAGCTTCCCTTATGGCCCCCTATTTAATTACACCCACAATAAGCCCCCCCCCCCCCCCCCCTCAAAAAAAATCTAATGACTCAAGCCACTATCGTACTTTCAGCCGAAGCCATGAACCCAAAAGGCCCTCAAGCCTGACAGCCTCAATCCTCAGCCCTGAACCCTAAACCCTAAACCCTAAACCCTAAGGGCATCTGAGTCTCCTCACTTCGACCCGGGCCCACAACCAGGATGACGTTCTGCATGAAGACCATGAGTCGGTGGTGCCCCATCTTAGGGTTGGTTTAGGGTTTAGGGTTTAGGGTTTAGGGTTTAGGGTTTAGGGTTTAGGGTTTAGGGTTTAGGGTTTAGGGTTTAGGGTTTAGGCGCATGGGCTGAAGAGTTTTTTTTGGTAGGGTTTTCCATCTTAGGGCTTTGGCGTCAAGAGTTTTAAGGGCGTAGGCTATTGTGCCTAGGGACTGAAGAGGTCTATCTGTAGGCTCGCAAGGTCCCAACCATACAATAACACAAGAACATGAGCATAGTCACCTAAAACCAGATTATGGGAACAGGCGACCAACACTACAGCACTAGAATGCCAAAAGACTATGAGTCTGCAAGACGATAATACTATATAATACTATAGTACTATACTGCAATAGCGCCATAGTGTTAAAATACCATATACTGTAACGCCATAACTCTGTACTACTAGAACTTCAGAATGGTCTGATGATATTCGCATATTACGGTCAGTGGCAATGTGCAAGAAACAGACATCACGAGTCACAGAAGGGAGCTCTGATTTCAAAGCAGCCTTGCTTTGGTGGCTTCGAAAATGCTAAGGTCTCCGCCCGAAGCTTGCCTAACTTGAGCTCAAAGTGGACCATGTCGAAAATCCCCGCCATCAAGTTCCTTGGTCTGGCATCTAGACGACTCACCCAAAGGATCTCAAGGAATTTCTCTGGTCGCGGAAGGATCCGTGGAGCTGGATGTCGCGTAAAGGTCGCTTTTGCAGAGCTAGACGTGCGCCGACTTTCCGAATGAGCCCAGAAGCAGAGGCAAGTGAAGGTTTGTCAGCCTCACAGCACGACTTGGCTTTTGCACTATCAAG